TGTATGTATGTTATGATTTAAAGTTTTTTTTAAGAAATATATTAAAATAATATTTTTTTTTATTTTTTTATAATTATTTTTGAGATTAGATATCAAAAGAATATAAATACATAAAAAATCAAAATTTAAAAAAAAATACTGTTTACACAACGTTCCCACAAACAAAAATATATACCGCTTTCGGCAATTCATGGCTTTTGGCTGGGGTTTTTTTTTTTTTTTTTTTCTAAATGTCAAGAAATAATATAATGTTTGTTCATAGAGTCGCGTAATGCTGCAGCTTGAATAAAAAGAAAACTAAACATTAAAATAAAAAATCAGGTAATATAAAACTATTTAGGATCTGGGTCTCTCGAACAAAAACCATTATAAAAAAAAATAACACAAATACGATAAAAAAATATTCGGTGGTAGTATACCAACGGAAAAGACAACGAAAATCCCGTCGGCAATGAATCACCATTTTCATGTATGTAATTTTAGAATATCGATCCTACGCTCATAACGCAAATATAGCAAAAGATAATTCAAAAAAAAAAATTAAGAGGAGGGGATTCCATCCCGATAAATAGAATTAAGGATTTATTATTTACACATGTTTTTTTTCAGAAAGTTTTCTTAAATCAATCATTTTAATTTATTCAGGAAATCTTCAAATACCTAACCGCAGACAAAAAGAAACTGTTTCAAATCTAGTACCTAACAGTAGACAAAATGTTCCATACCCAATCAAGATGGGATGAGGATATTCAGGGGTGGAATTGGCACATAAAAAAATAATAAAAACGAACCCAGTCTCAATTTTCTAATAAAATCAATGACCCCTTAGCAAAACTTTGGGATTTGAAACCATGGAATTTAGTTGCACATTGGGATTTGATTTGGGCTGCTGAAAACCGAAGACCAATGGTGCATCCTCCTCCTCCAGAATTAGCAGGCCAGGCTAGGCCAGGCTATGTGAACGTGAAACTGAGTGAAAAGGCCAGACCTTCTGTCTGATGCGGACAGACAGACCTCAGCTATACAGTTATCCAGCACCTTTTTGTTTCCCAGTACTGTATCATCACGGTTTTGCTGCCTTCGCAAGCAAAATAGTTGCTGAAACATTGACATTAATCTTCACCTTTCAAAGTAAATTGGATAAAATGTATAGCAAAGCAGCACAGGTTGTAGCAAGTGGATGCCCTCCTCCACCTTCTCCTGACTCAGATAAGCTACACTTTCGTTACTATAATTGCACCACAGCACCTTACTTCACTTCTCTCCACCAACAGGCTAGCTACCATGATTATATATATATATATATAAACTCTCTCTAGCTAGCTCTTTGCAAATCAAACGCTCAAGGAAACAAATCATCTACGTATTTTTTTCATTCTGTACAATACAGGCCACACCTCTGCCCAACAATGCAACAATTTATCTTATTATTCTGGCTCCTCTTCCTCCTCCATACTTGCTCCAAAACATTTTGCCAATCACCAGCACAGTCACCAGTAGCGACTCAGACAAAGGCACCAGTGCCGCCGCCACCCCCAGCTGGCCCTACAGACACTATCCAAATCCTCTTAAAAGCTGGCCGCTTCTTATCCTTTGTCCGCCTGATGAAAGCTACCCATGTGGATACCCAGTTATTTTCCCAGCTTAACAGCTCAACCGATGGCATAACCATGTTTGCGCCAAATGATCACGCATTTTCAAGCCTAGTTGCTGGGGCCGTAGACTCCTTAAACGATAGGGGAAAACTCGAGTTTGTGCAATTTCACATACTACCAAGACTTCTTTCAATTTCCGATTTCCAGACTCTAAGTAACCCTGTAAAAACCCTGGCAGGATCAGACCGGAAGTTCCCGCTTACTATAACCACCAGTGATCACTCAGTGACAGTAAGTTCAGGGCTTACGAAAACAAGCATATCAAACACTATATACACAGACAAGCAAGTTGCTATTTATGAGGTCGACAAGGTGCTAGTTCCTCAAGATCTTTTCCCACCGGCGCCACCAGCTCCAGCACCGGCAAAGCCTCTCGCAAAGCCTGATCCTGTTGCTCCCAGGGATGCTTCTGGTGCACTAGTTACTGCTTTGCAGCATCGTGTTAACGTTGTGCTCTTCGGGGCTGGCCTATATGTAGCTGCTCTTGTAATGGATCCATAAGATATTTTTAAGTGGGGCCAATGACTCGAATGGTATTTACAATACTCCTTGCACAATGAAAATGTAAACGTTGCCAATTTTTTTATATATATAATTCTGGATAAAAAAGTTGAACGAGCAAACCACATAAAACTTGGTGAGAGATTTTATAATTCTGCCTTTATTTTTTTCTCTTGTTTTGTTTTACTTTTTCCGGAACGCCTGATATAAATAAATTTTAGTAATTGACCTCAACCAACTAAACTGAGACAACATAAAGGCTGATTTATTGAAATGAAAATACGGGAGCAAATTGACAGCTGACCACAAAAATAACCTCAGACTCCATTAAACGATCGTCCTGGATACATGTTTTGCACAGCAAAAGAATCAATGCATTATCCAATTGGCACCCCACATTCATCATAAATTTCTACTTCCAGCCCTGGGCTGCTGCTGCTGCTCCTGCTCCTAACTAGTGAACCAACACCAGTACATGTTGATGATGAGGGGGGAGGGGAGTTACAGAGTTAAGAGTTATCATTAGTTGTTTAGAAGTTGAAACGAGGAGGGAAACCGGTGATGAATCCGGCAAGTTCAGGCAGGAAATGCTTGTTGCTAGCAACTTGCCATTTTCTCCGTGAGGTGAGACACAGAGCCGCCAGCATTTACCGAACTCCCCAATTATCATAAATGAAACCTCCTCAAATCATATCATCAATTCTCTTGGCAAGAAGCTACCACTAATTATTGTTGGATTTTCCAAGCCCAGCATTTTATCTTCTACAATCTTATTTTTTCCAACTCTAAGATATACATGTAGTTATTGATTTCTCAAATTCAAATTCGTCTGCAGCAACCAGGATGTTCCTCGATTCAAATTCTAGAAAAAAGAATTACTGACTCTAGCTAGCTGGCTGGCCAGTCACCTCTCTATCATGTTAAATTAAATCAATTGCCAAAAACAATTAATCAGAAAAATCAAGCCCATAAATAAACACATAAAAGTAAAATAAAAAAGTTACTTTAAATGCAACAATAATATCCAAAGGAAAAGAAACATAACTATCCGCAACCATTTTTCCTGCCGTGATTATTTACAGAAATATCAAAAAAAACAAAAAGGAAACAAAGCATTCAACTGCCAAGTCAAAGATCCGAAATAGAAAGCGATCCTTTATTTTTTTATTCGGGTTGTGCGCTCAGGGACTAACCTTGCTGCGATAAAGCTTGCCGAAGACATGGAGAGCAGTGACAAAGCCAATGAAGCAGAGACTTATCACCAGGACTATCGTGGGCGAGATCTTCAAGCCCGGCGCATCATCGGTGTAGAATCGAAGCATGTTGCTGCCAGGGCCTCCGATTCCGCTACCGCTACCGCTACCACCACCGGAGGAGGATCCGGAGGATACGACGCGGCGGCGGCGCATCCCAGCAGTGGCCGCGGCGGAGCCACGAGGAGCCGTAACTCCAGCACGGGAAGAGGAAGAAGATGAGGTGGTTTGCGATTGAGAAGCACCTCTCGCCATCGTTGAGGGTAACTGCAGAGGAAGAGAATAAAAATTGAAAATGGCCAATGTGGCAGGAGTGTGAATATATGGGACTTGAAGGGGATTTGGAGAGAGCTGCGGTTTTTTTTTTTTTTTTTGATGGATGTTATCTAGACTGGACGCGCGGATCAGGAATGCTCACGCGCTTATAATTACTTTCTCGATGTTGACTTTTGTAAAACTTTTTGAGTATTTAATAATTAATTTTTCATGACCAATACTTAGCCAGTGTATATTACTTTTTATTTTAAAATTATTCTAAAATATATTTATTTTTAAGTTTTTATTCCTTTAATAAAATACATTTTTATCTCAAAAACTAATTAAACAAAATATTAAAGTGAAATCCCACTGTACAAAACCCAAAAATCACCCATGTGTTTTTTATTTTGTAAACAAGTTATTATATAAAAAAGATTTGGTCAAAATTAATTTTGGATTTATAAAATTTAATCAATTTAACTCAATTAGACTAAATTAAAAAAAAATAAGATTTAAAAAGCTAAAAATACCCTTCTTTTTCAAAGAAAAAGGAAAGGAATTAAGAAAACAATTCCAACAGTCTTCAGACATTAAAATATTTAGAAATAAGATTTATAAAATGCTAAAACAATTATAAAACACTTAGCCATTCAAATTTTTAGAAATATTCAAGAAAAAATAAATAATTTAATCACTTTGGAAAAATTAAAATTTCCAAAAATCCTAACAAGATGAAAAAAATTCGATGGTGCTAAGAATGATTCAAATATAAACTTTGAGTTTTTTTAATAAATTTTTAAGAAATAAAAAAATCAAAATTGATCTGCAATAATATTTTTCTTTTCGTGAAGTTTCAAACTATCTTTCTTAAATTAATTTATAATTGAATCTGTTTAGGTTCACTGGATGAAACTAAATCATTGCCCAGTCGTGTTGAGAGTAGGATAATGTTTTTTAATGTAAGAAGAATTATGCAAGTGATGGTAACATGTTTTTTAATTAAAAAAAAAGACTTTCAATTATAAATTCAATATAATATATATTGAAAGATATTTTTTGAAAATATTAATATAATAATATATTAAATAAATTTTTTTAATATTAAAATTATAATATATTACGTCAATTTGATTAAACTGTTAAATTTATAATTCAATCACGTGATAATAATAACTTTATAAAAAATAAATTATAATAAATTATACAAATAAATTTTTAATTAATTCAATATTAAAAATAAAAAATAAAAATAATAAAAAATTATTCAAATCAATTTAAATTAACATGTAAAATCTAAAATGTTTATCATTAAAATAATTTTATAAAAAAAATATAAAATTTAATTTTTAATTAATTTAATATTAAATAATAAAATATTTTATCAATTTTATAAACATGGGATAAAAAAATGACCTCATCTTTTTATAATACTGTGTACTGTAAACAAAAACAACGACCATTTAAGGGTTTTATGCATCACCTCTATATAATATTGTATTGGCATTTTAATTTAACTATCAATACCCCAAAAAAATCAATTAAAATGTTAAGTCTTCGTCCCTGAAAATTAAATATTAAGACATAATTAAATTTTTTAAACAGTAGATTATCTAATCTAATTATAAACTATTATGCTTTATATTAAATTATTAAGATTTTAATAATAAATTTTTAATTCAACAAATATTCATATTTGTTCACAGACAAATAATTAACAATCTATTAATAATTAATTAATAAAAAATATTAAATAGCAGAAACAATCCTTTACCAAGAAAACTAACATGTTGTAGTTTTTAACTATCCAAAACGATGTTATTAGAATCGGTCTGGCCAATAAATTGACAAGGGTCTCATTCACTTGTTTTCTCTTCTTCTTCTTTTTTTCAAATCTCAAGGCATAAAAATAATAAATAAATAAATAACCTTTTTGTTTGACCATTAAAATTTCCCTTACAACATTAAAAAAAAAACAAATAATAAGAGAAATTGCTGGTTTGATTTCTTTATTTCTGACACGGTATATAATGGGAATAAAAGCTAGAGCTTACAAGCTCTGAAGTTGTTGTACTAAACTTTATTCATAAAAAATAGAGAAAATCTTTTATATTTTATATAAAAATCCAAATAATAATTTGATGCTCAAACAACACCAACATTGTTTAATTAGGGCTTAAAATTGATCTAAACAAGAAATGTAAGTTAAGCAAAAAAAACAAATAATTAAAATTCAAAAGTAACTAAAAAAATAATTAAAATAGAAAAAACAAGAAGATCAATCATGCTAAAACTACACCAAAAGAGGCTCTCTTGAATTTAACCATTTCCCTACCGCTATTATTCATTCTC